ATTTTATCCTTTTTTTTTAAAAAAATATTTGAAATAAAAAAAAAAATTTGTTTTTTCTTTTTCATTTTATTTAAATTTTTATGCAATAATTTAAAACAAAATTGTATTAATTTTAATTTCTAGTCTTGATAACCCATCAGAATCCTTTCAACATGATAAACGATCAAGAAAACCGACAATTTTGGTGACTAATATGAATAACGATTCCACGTCAGTACTACTTTATCATGTCCGATTTACGATGTCTTCAAGTTCTTTTATCTTTTTGATGATAATATATTGATTAAAAAGTTGTCACATTTGATCATTTGATCAATCAATAATCGATCATAATTTAAAATGATTTTAAACAAAATAATATTTATTTTATTATTAACAAAATATAATTTTCATTATTATTTCTTTCATAACATTTTTTTTTTTATTGTATTAAAGTGAAGTGGACGATGAATTTATTAGTGGTGAATTCGACGAACTTTCATCTTCTCCTCTTAATACAAATCGTAAATATACGATTAATATTCCACAGGTTTATTCATTCTTTCTTGCATATTCTCAAATTTTAAATTAATATTTGAAATTTGAGAAATTTCAAATATTGTTTTTCTCTCTCTTTCCCTCTCTCTTTCCCTCTCTCTTTCCCTCTCTCTTTCCTTCTCTCTCTCTCTCTTGCTTATCACAAAGAGGAAAATTAGTGATAATAATTCATTAGTTTTCATCATTTTTCAATAGTTTTATTTGTCTTGTTTAACAATTTCAATTTTAGGTGTCAAATGAATCGTCCAATTTATTGATAACTGTAAGTAATGAAAGCACTAATACACCTTCACCTCCATCTATTTCTTCCAATCAATTATCTTTGACAAATGACAATGCTTTGACATTAGACGATCAACAAGCAGCAAAATGTCGTGGACTATCATTAGCTGGCACAAGTAGTAATTTACATGAAAATGAGAAAGAAAAATTAGCTGAAAAGAAAAAGAAAACATCGTTACAAAATTTGCGACTTTGTAATATACAGGTATTATTAATTTATTATTGTTTATGCTAATTTATTATTTCTACATTTTAGTTTTAAATATTTTAGAAAAAAAAAAAAGTCTTTAAGGAATGTATCAATTTCAATGATCATTTGATAATTTTGAATAGTGTAAAATTTGATTACTTTTTAATTTTTTTACATATCAAAAAATTGATGTTTTAATTTAATTAATATTTGCTACAAAATGTTTTTTCTTTTGCAAACTTTTTATTACAAAATGAATGTATTTTGTGATAAAGTAAAAGAAATAAATGAAGAAAAGCAAGAAAAAATATTAAATATAATAAATGAAAAAAAAAGAGGAAAAAAAGTAAAACTAAACTTTTAGGTAGAACATTCATTAAGTAGACATCGTTCTACCGAAACATTGCCTTCTCTTACATCGGCACAAATTCACTTAATACGAAATATTTGGCGACAAGTTTATATCACAAAAGGTCCAACTGTAATTGGTTCAACACTACTGCATGGAATATATTTTAAATCAAAGAAAATAAAGGATCAATTCTTTAGATGTCCTTTTCCTCAGCGATTTCCTAATCGTGATAGTTTTAATAAAGCACATGCAAAAGCTGTTGGTGAAATGTTGGATAAAGTAAGTCTTCTGATATGCTTATCATTTGATAAGAAATGTTAACAGCTACGAAGACTAAAAGCAATTAAGCAGATTTAATTAGAATGATAAAAGAAATGCTTGTGATAAGATAAGAAATGTTAATAGCTGTTAATAGAATAAGAAATATGTTAATAGAATAAAAAATAAAATTAAAAATAATTAAACAAATTTTCAAAATAATTAAGCAGATTTAATTAGAATGATAAAAGAAATACTTGTGATAGAATAAGAAATGTTAACAGTTACAAAAACTAAAAATAATTAAGCACATTTAATTGGAAGAAAAAAAAATATGTATCTTTTATATTAATTTAGTATTATTGTTGATCAATTTTTCTGCTTAAAAATAACTTTAACTTATTGTATCTTCAGATTAGATTTCTTCTAATTAAATTTGTTTAATTATTTTGAAATCATTTCTGTTTGCCATATTTTTTTTTATTGTTTTCCATTTAATGATAGCTCATAATAAATTATTGATAAGAAAAATGTTGAAAATTATCGTTGCTTAATGTTAATTTTTTTTTTTTTAATAGAATATCTGATTCAATTATAATTTCATTCCTTTGTTACTTGCAGATTGTTGACAATTTAGAAAATTTAGAATCAATGTCTGGATATTTATTTTCTATTGGTGTCACGCATGCAAATGTTAGTTAAATTTTGCACACTTTTGTGTTTATACACACACACATTTTGTAAATGAAATTAATTTTAAGTAAGAATTTATTATCAAAATATTGTTGAATTTTTTTACAAATTGATAATAATAGTTTGATAGTAAATTAGTCTGTAAAAATTGTATTTGAAATATTATTATCATTAACACAGGTGATGGCACTTTTCAGTTAGCTCGGCGACAAATATCGAAGGAAATTTGGAATTTAATGGCAGAAGCATTTATCGATTGTACCTTGGATTGGGGTGACAAGAAAGGTCGTACGGAAGCTTCAAGAAAAGCATGGGCTTTTATAATTTCATTTGCTATAGAGAAAATTAAACGAGGACATTTACATGAAGTAAGCATTTTTTAATTTTATTAAAATTTCTTTTTTTTTAAAAAAAAAAAAATACAATGTTTCGAGTTAATTTCATTGTAAAATTATGCTATAAAACACTGCAAAAAAAAGAAAAATTTTTTTTCAATCTTTTTGCAAATATGTAAATTTTTTGTTGAAAATTTTGTTGGATATTAATAGATTACAGTAGTTTTCAAGAAATTTGAATTATATTTAAAGAATTAATTTTTTAGAGGCGGCAATTAGCCTATCATAGACGATCATCAACGGTTGCACCATTTCAAACCATTGCGCCAGTTCCTTCATTACCATCTTCCGCTCCAACTATTCCGTTTTGGAAAACCACCGAAGAATCTGACTCACATATTTAAATGTTTTAAACTGTATTTAATGAAAATAATAATAATAATAATGAATACTTTTCTTTTTTTGCTATGCAATAAAACACGCAATCAATTTCTGGTTGATTTCATTAAAAGTAATTAAGATATAATTTAATTAAATAAATTATTTCCATTCTACATATTCTTGTTTGGAATTTAATTTCAAATTTAATATAAATTAAATGAATGCAAATGACAATTTGCTCTCTTATTAAAAAGGATGAAAAGAACTTCTGCACAATGTTTCTTTTTTTTTCTGAAAGCTGAGTGCTAATTAATTCAATTTTAATTCTATTTAAATATTTATTTTATGAAACAAAAAAAAAAAAAAAAAAAAAAGGAAACTATGGGAAACTTTAAATATGACAAGAAAAAAAGAAATCCATTTGCCTCCAGGAAATTTATTACTTATTATTTTATACTATATTCTTGTGTATGGTAGGTAAAACCTTTTGTTATAGAAATAAATATTTAAACAATATCAATACAAAACAATTTTTATAATCACACCTAAAAAGCTCGACCATCATTTAATTTATTTTAAAATATTAAATTTTTAATTTATTGTTTACAAATTTTTGAAAATTGTCAGATGCACGCATTTTACTTTGTGTCGTTAAAATTTCTCAAAACTTTTCTTCTAAAAGAGATGAAAAATTGCTATTTGAATAAATTGGAATTAAGAAATGTTGCAAACATTTTGAGAATATTTAATGATTTGTGCTTCAATCAAAAATAATAACCAACAATATATTTGAATAAAATGAAAAGAAACTATTTATAATTTATGATTTCAATTAATGAAATTAAAAAAAGAATCGTTTTGCTAAATTTAATGAATAAAATAAAAAAAAAAAAACATAAATGATTGCTTTCTGGAAATTTCATTCAATTTTATGCAGAGAAAAATCTAAAAAATAAAAAAATTGGTGTGATTGCAAATTATTTAATTTATAATTTTCCAACTAAGAACTTTTTAATTCTTTTTTTTTTTTGAATAATTTCCATTATTTAAATTTTAGCTTATTCTCAATTCTCGACTTTCATTTTATTTGTACTTTTTGTAGCATATTTTTATGTAAGTATATAAGTTTTATTCTCAAAAATTCCGCTGAACAAAAAATTACAAGAAAAAAAAAAATAAAAAATAACTAATTGTAATTGTATGTAAGTTGGAAAAAAAAACTAAATATATCTATTAAATTTACTATAATATAATACATTTGAAAGATTTCTTTCAAAATTAACAACATAATTATTTTCTATTATATATTACTAACTATTAATTAAATAAATATTGTATATCAAATTATAAAATTAAATTTAACAAATGCAGATTTGTTTTTTTTTTTTTTTATCACTTTTATACATTCCTATAAATACTTTTTCATTGTCCTAGAAATTTGTTTAAATTTCAGTATCAATTAATGATATATGTATTCGTATGTATGTGTCATTTTAATTCACAAAAATTCCGCTGGACAATATTTATGAAAAAAAAGGAAAAAAACAAACAAATGACCAATTGTAATTGTATGTAAGTAAATTAAGAAAAAAAAATGATTGAAATGGCTGTAATTGGTGTGAAAACAAGAACATTCCAATGTTATTTTCTTAACTTATCGATATAATAATTTCAATAATTTATGTGAATTCCCATTAACCTGGTTAAGCTTTTTTTTCTTCTCATTTCATTTACTGAATATTTTTCCTTTATCTTTCTTTCTCTCTCCCTCCCTCTCTCTCTCTCTCTCTCTCTTCTGGTCTCAATTTAATTCATTTCAATAAAATCATCATTGTGTTATAATATAATTTACAAATTATTAGTTGACATGATTTCATGTCAGTTTATTCAAATTTTTCATTCGTTTCACAAATAACTCTAAACTGACTACAATATACTGTTTACTTTAGATTACTATCACAACAAATTGGACATGATGGTGACATTTGCTATCATTTCTTGCTTACTACTTATTAATGTTGTTAGTTTTTTTGCATAATTAATCTAATCATTTTGAATTAAATTTAAATTACTAAAATTTTCACACAAATTATCTGGTGCAGTTGGTCTAGTGGTTAAAGCATTCAGCTTTCACCTGTGGCAGCTGGGTTCAACTCCTGCCAATGACGCGGCGTAGTTTTGTGCTCTGGACTATCTATCTTATTAAATTGGGTTTTGATTTAATTCAAATCGTTTGAAAAAGAAAAAGAAACCTTCGAGGAAATTTTTCAATCGCTAATTTCATTGAATCATAGTTATCTTTGCATAAATGAACTTCTGGGTGAGATTTACTTAATTTCATTCGCAATTTAAAATTTTAATTACAAATTACGGCAAATTAATTAATTTTCAAGTATTACAAAATTAATATTATGCTGAAGTACAAATGAAATACAAGAATGAAAGCTAATACAATGATAATTCTTAAGAAATTATTGAATTAATATTTAAAGATTTTTACTGTTTCATGTTTTTGAGAGCCATAAAATCTAATTACTAAGTCATATTAGCATCATTTAGACATGTCAAGATTCAATATTAGATGTTAGCCTGATCGAGAATAGTGTTGTTGGTGAACCGGAAGTGGAGTGCGGTTTAGATGGTATTGAAATTGATGTGATTACCACATATGCATTTTTTGGCAGATTGTATGTTCAGGTATCAAAAAGTATAACTTTATTAGCATTCAATTTTATCAAATATTCGGTGATAATTTAGTTTTTGATAGAATGTTCCAGATAGCACTTAGAATCACTGATAGTGATTGATCTGTTCGATCATAAAAATTGATCACTGTGTATGAATATTACCTTGATAACACTTATCGAGATAGTCTGACATAAGATAAAACTGAAAAAGCATTTTAATCATTCCGCATCGATATTTTTGAATAATTAATAAACAGAAAGAAATTATTCATTATTATTATTATTATTATTATTATTATATTATTATTATTATTATTATTATTATTATTATTATTATTATTATTATTATTATTATTATTATTATTATTATTATTATTATTGTATCTTCTTGAATTGTACTCTTAATTAAGTAAGTAATTTTGAAAGTTTCAAGGGTGAAAGTGATAATCCTAATTGTGTAACATCATATTTTGGAGAAGATCAGCAGTTAAATAACGATCAACAGCTAAAATTTTCATTGAAATTTGGTGAATGCAACATGCGACGTCAGCGCACGGTACTTTTTAGCCGATTTCTTTTTTTTTTGAAATTCTATTTCATAGATTTGGTTTATTTTTCATAAAAAGTAATCCATAATAGGGTGATAGAATCAAAATTCATTGTTCCTTTATCAGTTACACTTTTTTTTTTTCTTTGTAAAATAATTCGATAACAGTAAACAAAAGTATTTTATTGTTAATTCGCTTGAAAATTTCATTTCTTTTTTTTTTTGGTAGAATTTAATTTTAATTATTTAATTCCATGGCAGTTTATTGCAGTACATTTCAAATTTAACTTTAAGTCAAAGTTTTTTTTTTTTTAAAGTTATTTAAGTTCCTTCTGAAGTGTTATCTTTTCATTATCAAAATTATTTTCCTCCTTTTTTTTTAATCTTCGATCAGCTTTTTAAACATTTTATGAATTGCAAATTGTAATTAATAATATTTTTTTTTTTTGTTCCAAATTTTCGTATATTTTCAAATTTTAGTTGAATCCACGTGGTGTTGTTTACACATTTACACTCATCGTATCATTCCATCCGGTATGATATTATCCCAATTTTGTTTTCAATAATATTTTTAAAATTTTAAAAAATTTTAGGTATTTCTTTAAGTTAAGCTAAATAACGAGAATTTAATCGAAATTAACATCTTCTTCTTAACTTAAATTTTTGATTGCTATAAATAATATCAGAGTTGAATTTAAGATCTTCGAGACAGAAATTGATCGAGCATATCAAGTACGATGTTTTTTCTCTGAGTCAGTTAAAGCATTAGAAGTTACATTAGGTGTTAGGTAAGTCATTTATGTTTAACTAAAAAAAAAAAAAAAACTTTTTAAATAAAATTTATAATATTTTTAAAAAAAAATTTTTTTCTTTTTTGCCAGTTAAAAATCTGCGAAAAAAAAATTTGTTGTTTAAAATTTATAATTAAATGCTTGTTTGTTTGTTATTGCTTTTTTTTTTATAATTTAATGTTTTATTCTAATATCTGAATCATATCTAATTCTGAAAAGAAAAAAAAAGAACATTTAAATCAGTAAATTTTCTTTTAAAAAATTGAATTGAATGAAATGTTTAATCTTTTCTCTTCCATTAAATTATAATTTATTAAATTTTTTCCCTATGAAAGTTAAATAAATTAGTGATATCACATATTCATAAGTATTTAGTCAATTAACAACGCAAATTATTGCAAGAGAATTTACTCTTCCGACGTGTATGTACGAGATACGTGAAAGCCGTAATGGTCCATTGATCAAATTTGCGCATATTGGTGATCACGTATGGCACGTATGGCATTGTGATTTAGGTTAGTTGTAAAAATGATTATCTTTCGAAATTAATTTACTTTTTTTCATTACAAAAAATATTCTCTAATCTGAAAATTTAATGAGATTAATTAATTTGTTGCTAAAAAAATTAATGGAAAGTTCAAATTAATTAATTAATTTCATCAATTTATCCTAAAAAAAAAAATCTTAAAACTTAAAAAATTTTTATACCAAATTTACTGCAATAATACTAAAATTAAGAATCTGGTGTAATATATGGTATGCTAATTCATTCATGTTATGTTGATGATGGCCAAGGCAAACATGTCCCAATTGTTGACAATAAAGGGTCATTTTCAAAAATTTATTTTTCTAAAATTTAAAAGTTTTTTTTTTCAATCATTTCCACTTTTCTTTATGTTTCAATTTTACATACATCTAACAACGCTTTTTCATTGCAAAATTTTAACATTCTTTGCAATTTCATACATTTTACTTTTTTTTTTTTTTTTTTACATTAAAAAATGGAAGAAAGTATTTTAAATGTTTTTTTTTAATGTAATGAAATTAATTTAGATGTGTTTTGGATTCTTTATTATTATCTGATATTCAATATGATAATCAAGCTATAACAGCATATGCAAAAACACGAGTTTTTAAATATTCTGATAAAATTCAATTGTATTTTACGTGTACCGTGCAACTTTGTGTGAAGAATGATGGTGGCTGTGATGATGTGACAGTAAGTTGACAATTTTATAATAGAATGAAATCTTATGAGAATTTTTTGATTCGAATGCAAGATTATTAATGCAAAAATGATGTGAAAATTTAAGCCTAAAAATTTAAGAGTAAAATGAAATAAATGAAATAAAAAAAAATAAAATTAAAATTTATTAAATAAACAGCGATAATAATATTATGGATGATTATTTGATAAGATTCAGCTATATTATCAAAATAATTCTAATTTTGTTATAAATGAACAAATCCGCTCTTAATTTATCTTTCTTTTTTTTTTGCACCAAACTTTGAAAAGTAGCAGAATTTTTTTTTTTTTTTTTGTTTACTTTTACTTTCAGCCACCAGTTTGTGAAGATGAATTTTTGACACAACTACCAATCGAATATTCTTCGTCAGAGCGTAGTTATTATGATGATCCATCACATTTTCAACATCATAGTATTTTTTAAGATTCTCAGAAATTTTGCCAGTACTTTTAGTATAATGGATATGATATGAGAATATGATGAATAATAATAGTAATTAATAATAATAATAGTAATTAATAGTAATAATAAATAATAATAGTATTTCTCTTATTAATATAAGTAATAAATAATAACAAGAATTGATAATAATAGCACTTCTCTTATCAAAAATACTTAACTAATACTTACCTATGTCCTCAGCAATACTTACCTATGTCCTCAGTAATACTTACCTATGTCCTCAGTAATACTTACCTGTGTCCTCAGCAATACTTACCTATGTCCTCAGTAATACTTACCTGTGTCCTCAGTAATACTTACCTATGTCCCAAATACCTAAGTAATCATTATCACTTACATCATAGCAACAAACATCATTTTGATATAATTTGACAGTTATCATGATAATTGGTACCTTATCATGATAACAGCAATTGACTGATTTTAGAGATCGAAAAAGAATTCTTTGGACCCATAGACGCTGAGCGTAAAAAAAACACAAGAAATTTGCATGTGACACCACCGTCACCATTGCAATCACCACTTGAATTTGGGTGAGTTTTTCCAGACAATCAAAAATTGTCTTTCATAATTCTTTTTTTTTCTTTTTTCTTTCGAAATTTCATCAATTTCTAATTTTATAAAATTTTATGAAAATAAATTATATTAAAAATGTATATATCTCATTTAGTTTCCTAAAAACTAGCGCTGTACCACGTAAATTGCGTTTTCAAAGAGAAATTCGTCGTGACAATAATTTGAAGAAGCAATTAAAATTGTCAAATACAAAAATGAAAATTGCTGAAACAGATCTTACGGCACATGTTGTTGTCTTTCCAATGATTGAAATTTCACCTTCAAATACATCTTCAAATGTTAATAAAGGTAATTTAATTAACAAAACATTAACATTAAGCAAAATAAAAAAGTATGATGGACAAATAGTAAAGATGAAAATGACAAAAAAAAAAAGAAGAAAGAAAGAGAAAATTCTGTAAGAAAACCGGAAAAAAGAAAAGATCAAAGAAATGTTCGCTTTTGAAGGACGTTCCTTTTTTTTTTTGTAAAGAAGACAAGTTTTTGAAAAGGTGAAATGATAATGAAATAAATTGATATGCCAATCATATCAATAAGTGATAAAATATTATCAAAATATATTTTTGATTAAGCTACGATCGATTTAATTTATTGTATGAATTAATTGTCTTTTGTCTTTCTTTTTTTTTTTTTTTTAAATTATAAAATTAATTTTTATTAATTTTAGCAATAAACGAGGAATCGCATATTATTTCAATTTGTCTTTCATCATTGGATATGCTTTTACTTCTTGGTACAATAATAATTCTATTTGGTGCATCCTGTTTGATCACAATGTTATTTATTAGACATAAACAATTCTGTTGTATTACTTCAGTTATGGATGATGATGGAATATGCAAGAGAAGGCCTATTAATAATAATAATCTTTGGTGAAATAAAAAATATTTTTAATAGTTGAAATAAAATTTTGAAAAGTGTAAAAAAAAACAAACAAACAAATCTTTACTCTTATTTAATTTAATTTCAAAAATTTTTTTGAATTGCTAACTAGATAATATTGTAAAATACGATGGGTTTTCTTTACAAATACTTTCAATGATTTCTCTTTTTTTTTTTTTGTTTTTTAATTTAATGCTAAAAATAGTGTGAAATAAAAGTTTTATTTGTGAACAAAAAATTTTTGAAAGTTTAAAAATAATTTCGTAAATGAAAAAAAAAAGGAGCATTCTTATTTTTATTTCCAATAAATGAAAAAAACAAACAAACAAACAAACAAATGATAAAGTAGAGATACTAATATCAAACATAAATATCCTGAGACATGTGAAATAATCAATTTACCTTAGAATGCTAATATAATATTTCTTATCAAAATTTCGCTTATAAAAAATTTCTTAGCAAAAAATAAAAAATAATAATATAAAATGAGCAGTTCAAAAAAAAAAAATGCATAAAATAGTGAGAGGTAGATTAAAAAAAAATGTAATAAAAAAAAATATTGCATTAATTTTTACCTATCTATCATCTAATTAAGTATTTATCAAAATTTACTTTAATTAAGTTATCATTTAATCATTTAATTAACTTAATTAAGTTATCATAAATTGAATCATTTAGGCAAATATGTTTAGAGAAAATGTGTCGCCGCATAATATCAAAATGAAATTTAAACTGAAAAAAAAAATTTTTCTTTTTTTTTAAAGTTAAAATAAAAGAATTGCTAAGTTCTTTTTCATTTTTTTTAAAACCTTACTAAAACCTTACTTTGCATTTAAAGAGACAATTATCATTTAAAAAATTATACATATTTCTTTCTTTCTTTTACTTTTCTTTTTTTTACACAGAATTAAAATAAGCATAAAATGAGAAGAAAAATAAATGATTTCACGAATTTCACTTCTTCCTACCAAGATTTGCAGCCAATGAACCAAGTGCAGCACCAATTTGTGCACCTCTATGTGCAGCATACCTGATAATGATAAATTATAATGATTAGCAATGATATCGAAACAATGAAAATAATTATAATAATTTTGTTTATGTGAATGAAACTAAAATTAATCGAAAAATTGTTATAAATAAATAAATAAATAAGCATAATAAATGATCATACATGTGATGAATATCAGCATAGTGATAAGGATGATAAGGATGAGGATGATAATATGACACTGGACCAAAAGCAGGATAAGGATGATACCAAGAAGTATGATAATGACCATAACCATAATCAACTGGATGAAACCACCATGCTTGAACTCCTTGTGCAATTAATATCATATATAGAGTAGTAAATATTGATAATATCATAATTGAAATCTAAAAATAGATATAATTGAATTTTGCTTGTATTTCTAATTGCATTATAATTAAATCTTTCATTTAAAAAAAAAAAAAAATTAAATCAACTCAAAGATATTGTTTATAAAACAATTTAGCATTTTATAAATGAAATGAAAACAAAAAAGAAAATTCAATTTACGATGGAGAAAAAAAAGAAAAATAAAAATATTTTTTTAATTCTTTCGTAAATTGAAGAAAGAGATAAAAAACAAAACAATAAACAAAATAAACGATAATTAACTATGAACTTATTTAACCCATTAAGAAAATGTTAATCAAGTTTATAATATGTCATGTCATGGATGAATAACATACACACATACATATATTTTAGTATGAAAGGAGGTATTTTTTCTTAATATTGTATGAATTAGTAACTATACTAGTAAGTAATGCCTAATTACGAGTAAGTAATACCTAACTACAAGTAAGTAATACTTAATCACGAATAAGTAATACCTAATTACGAGTAAGTAATACCTAACTATGAGTAAGTAATACCTAATTTGATTTATGCAACTGATCTAAAACAATTATTTGAAATTATTGTGAAATAGCTGTTGAATTCATGAACAGCATGCAAATATTAATTTGATTATAAAGTTATCATTTATATACTTACTTCATTTTTGACCTTCAGAAACTGGTTCTCATTACTCGCTCGTAATAAATAATAGTTTAACTCAAATTTCGTAAAATTATATCAAATGGAGCAAAGGTTAACAATTCCACTCGTCCCATTCTTGCTGGTTTATTTGAGTTTTGTTTTTTTTTTTTTTTAAATCAAATTAAAAAAAAAGGAAAGAACTAACTTTATCAATTCTTATCTGCTACAGAAAGCAAGCTAAGGCCATAGTTCACTTGATTTAATTAATTTAGCAAATGATAAAAGTAAACTGATTTGTTTTTCTCGTTGATTGTTAATATTATATCTCGAGAATAGCACTAATAGATTTATTTAGTTATTAGATGAATGAAGTTTTTAAAAAATGTGATCGAATCATCACCAATAATTAATTAGACAATTCGTCTTACTATCATTTAGCTATGATATAGCAAATTATCAACATTTGTCATTTTATGTCAATTTTGATAATTAACTTTCATTCTGTCATTTAAATCGTAAATTTTGCAAAAAAAAAAAAAAAAAAAAAGGGAAAACAATATGGAACAAATATAGTTTTATTATCATTGAAGCAAAATATAGAAAGGAACAAAGATCATACAAACACGTTGTAATCAAATAGAAAAAAAAAAACAAAAAACAAATCTAAAAAAGCAATATTAAAAGAAATAATAAAATTTCTTACAAAAAAAAAGGAAAAAAAAACTGTCACTTGCACTTTTCAATATTTAACAAATAAAAAACAATGATAATATTTGAATATTATTAAGTTATGAAAATATATGCAAGTAATTTAACTTTCAATTTTTTTTTTCTTTCTAAATTTACAATTTTTATGATGAAAAAAAAAAAAAATTTAGCATAGTCTAGTTGTCCAATAAATATATGAAATATTTATTAGAATTACTATTAAAAAATCAATAATACAATGAAGTTATGTATATATATATATATATATTTATAAAATTATTATTATATGGAGACCGGCAAATTGAATTTGACATAAACAGAAACAAAGACAAAGAATTAACAAATTAATTTATTTTAAGAGAGTGAAATGATTTATTCCAAATGAGCAATGTGAAATATTTTGGATCTCTATTGAAAATAATTAAAATGAATTGAAATTTAAACATTTGATTACCTACAAATTTATCTCTCAGATTCATAAGAACATATATTTCAGTGCAAGAGCAATAACATTTATTTAAACAAAAAAAAACAAAATTAAAAAAAAACAATGTATGATTGTAAATTGAATAATTTACCGTCTAACAAGTGAAAATGTGTTTAATATAAATTTTCTTTTTTTTTTTTTGCAAATTTATAAGATTAAAAAAATTTTTCATCTACTTTTCTTAACGAATTCATACAATTATTTACTTATTGAAAAAAAAAAAAAAAGAAAAACAACAAATGTATAGAAGTAATTACAGCACCAGTAAAATGCAAAAGAAATTTAAATGAAAAAAAAAAATGCAAAAATAAAAGAGACGAAAATAAACAAAAAGAAAGTTTTAATAATGGCAAATGTAAAAAGGATACAATTTAAAAGAATTGAAAATTTCTATGCCATTAAAAAATGAAAATTAGAAATAAAAGAGAGCATTAAATAAACAAGGAAAGCATATGAAAAATTAAAGAAGAAAAAAGAAAAAGTAATAATAATAATGAAAATTGACATATAACAATAACAAATAAACTTATGCATTTTTTAAAAAATTTTTAAAAATGATTGATTTTAAGAGAAACAAAATGATCTGTTACCACTGATGAAGTATTCTTATCCAATGATACTTGATCCCATTGCTGTCCAGTACCAGATTTTAAAGCTAGTGACCAATTTTCACTACTATTTGACACAGAATGAGGCAATCTAAAATGATCATTTGAAAAAAAAAAATTTTTTTTTTCTTTCAGATTCAGCTAAATTTGAAAATTTTGAAAAAGTTTCTTAACACATAAACAAAACTAACCATCAATAAAAGTGTCAAAAATTGCTTTATGCTTATTTAGTATCACAACATATACTCAATAAGTGTTTTCAAAAAATTTTGTGTATATTAAATTTTTAACGCTAAAAATTTCTCGGTTAAAATTTCATGTGAAAGTTAACTGCGTGCAATAATTCAAATGAAAAATATTTGTTAAATTTTTGAGACAATAATTAATTGCATAATTTCAGAACGGTGGATGCAAATTACGCAAATATATAAAAAGAATTACCGTAATTCGACCGGAATATTGAATTGCAAATTCTGTGGTCCACACATCACCAGTGGACTCATTAAACTTTCACCGCGACTTTCATCAAGTGGTGGTCGATTTCCGGCATCGCTTGCACGGCAAACTTTTACGTAAATTTCTTGCTGAATCTGAAAGATATGAGCAATCTTTAACCTTTCTCTTCGTTAATAAAATTGTGCTCAGAAATTTCAAATCAATTAAGAAATTATGAAATTTTGACAATTTTTTTTTAAAAAAAATGACAATTTTTAGAATAAATAATATTGCAAAATATAGATAAACACTAAAATAAGATTTAAAAAATATATTTAAAAAAAAAAAAAAAAAGAAAAAAACTCACGCCTTCATTAATTGCTCCTTCCGGAATGATTAATGAAACACCAGTTTTTGGGCAATTTAATCTTCCACCACGGGCATCTATTATTGCTGTGGAATGCTCAATAACTGTAGCATTAGGATCTGAACTGATAATAACTTCTTTTTTTGTGATATCACTATTATCAGCACTAGTGATACGATCCATTGCACCATTTAAATCACTTGTTGGAGATGCATGTGATAATCGCAGAATAGAACTATCATCATCAGTGTTATGCATCGTTTCATTATTCTCGCTAAATCTGTTTTAATTATAAATTGTCTAGAAAAGATATGAAATTTTATCAAAAATTCACTTCCCTAACTAACTTAATGACTAAGGAATTTTTAATTGAAAAAAAAATCTTAAAATTACTAAAGTATAAAAAGTAGAAAGAAGACATTAAACACTTTATTATTACAGTCTGTTATTTTAGATTGTCTATTAGAACAAAAATGAAGAGTTACCTTATCACTTATCAATACCTTATACTCATCAATATCACAAATACTTTATCAGTATCTTATCAATATCAGAAATACCTTATCAATATCGGACTTTCACGAGGTAACGATGATAATGGAGCATTTGAAGTACGAAACGGTGAATGAGTAATTTGCGATGACACATTTTGCTTTTTCTCACTTTGATTACTAACCCATCGATCTCTGCAATTTGTTTACATAGATTTTTTTTTTTAAATTTAAGTTTTAAGAATTATAACCGATCATTTCGGTCAAATGTTTATAAAAGCCATTGTTGTAATAATGTATTTCAATAGTTTTTTGTAGTTTAAAATTCAAAATTTCTCCAAGTAATATCTGAAAGTATTTACAACAATAAAATAATAGTAGTTCTCGAGAAATTACTTTTATCCTAGGTAACTTCACAGAACTTATTCAGTAAACTATTCTTCTCTTCAGTGCTTAAATTAGAACAAATGATTAAATTTAAATTTTAAGAATTATAATCGATCATTCCGGTCAAATATTGTCATACAGTAATGATTTATTTCTCATAATAAAAGAAATTAAATATTAACCACCTTGTTAAATGATCATAAAACAATCCTGTTCGTCCCGAATGCATCATCGTCATCATATCATGACCACTAATTACAGAATTATTTGCATTATATGATGATGACGATGAATTATCAACATTTTCAACATGACTTCGTACCATTTCTCGTGTACCACCAGTTGGATACTCTTCAGTACCTTCGGCCAAAATCTAAATCACATTATATCATTCATTTCTTTTCTATAGTACTATTACATTTATTACTTAGCAAATTTAGATAAAATATCTAAGTTAACTGTATTCCTATTAATATTTAAAATTTGAGAAAAAGAAAATGAAACCTGTTTTGCACCACTAAAACCAGCTTGTATTGGTCCAGTAGTGATGGTATTAGCATTGGTGTTTATAGTTCCAGATGTATTAATATGACTGACTCGACGATTATTGCTAATGTCTGCAATGACATTTGTAGTCGTTGTATTACTATTACTAGTTGATATCACAGCAGATGTTGTGCTATCACGTGCTGTTAAGGTTGGATATCCTGTAAAACTGATAGGTGATCGTGGTGGTGACACTTTGACAGGTAACTTCTGAGCATTTCGTGTAAGACGAGGAGAACCAGATTGCATGACATTTCGTTGTCGTTGTTGAAGAATTGGTGAGTGTTGTTGCATAGAGGTTAGCTGATGAGACATACCAGAATTTGTTAGTGAAATTTGTGATTGATCCATGGGTCGATTAGAATTATTAGTGATAATCAAACTAGATGAATCCTTTGTTGTTGCTGGGAAAGTGTCAACGCCATGACTGTTATGACGACGAGGTAATGTAACCCATGGCATTAAGGTTGTAGCAGGTGTCATATCAACATAACAATTACGATGAAAAGGTGAGTGCTGTGCTGTGATAGGATTAACGGATGAAGTTGAGAGTTGCACACGTGAAGAATACTGTGACAAAGGCTCACAAGGATGAACGTTTTGATAGAAATTGCTTCGTGATGCTAACATTCCAGCAGCAGTAGCAGTAGCAGTAGCAGAAGAAGAAGCGGTAGCTGGTGATGGTGGTGGTGGATAATTCACCAGGTGTGATTGAACTGAACGAAGTGGTCCTGGATATTGAGGATCATAGGTACTTAGTTGAGGATCAAAACCGGATCTAAAATTTTACATATTCTTTACAACTATAACAGAACATTTAAAATGAAAACATTTAAGACAAATTTTATATAAACAAAAAAAAAAAAAAAGATCGAAGCTTAAAATAATTTACAAAATTAATATGAAAAATGATTTACTTCACAAGAGGATCGCTATTTTCCAATTGTAATTGTGATTTTGTGAAATATTCATTAGTTGAATAATCCTAAAAAAAATATGTTAAAATTTCTAATATCTGACAATAGAGAAAGGGAGAGAGAGAGAGAGAGAGAGAGAGAGATATTAAATACTGCTGGTGAATATAAAGTTATTTTATTTCATGCATATTTCACTATTAAAAAATTTTAAATATGATAAAAAATAGTAAAATTATAATAAAATACTTTCAATATTTTCTTGATTCATATAAATTCATCTATATAAAATTCATATATATCTATATAATTCAAACTTTACCCCCTTTAATGATTCTATATCGGAATCACTCTGATTTTGAAAACTATGCATGGGTAACAAGATAACATCATTTAAATTTGTAAGTGGTCGAAATTCTGGCATCCATACTCGACGATCTTGCAAATGAGATATTAGTTGTAATAGAGCTTCAAACCAACCATCTTCTTTTGTTGCATCTAGTGTTGCTGAAAATTATAAATTCAAAAAATTCTATCATATTAAATTCAAATGTACTACTAAAAGTTATAATTTAAAAAGTTTTGAATAAACTTATTTTTTTAGTCAAAATAAAATTAGTTAACTCGAACTACAAATAATTCAAATATTAAGTTCGGATAATTTATCATAAATTATAAGTCTAAATTTAATAAGTAATCCATGTTGCAATTAGTCGAAAATAAAAAAAAAAAGAAATTTTCTTTTAAATTTAAAACCTACCTGTTAAAAGATATGAGTAATGTTTCTTAATTTTATGAGCTTGTTCAGAGAGTTTTTTGGAAGAAATAGTTGGAGCACCAGCTTTACTTCGAAGTTCACGTATTCTGCTTCGACTTTCAACATCAATGAAAATAACAATAGGCGCATATTGCGCAAGTTGTAAACGTTCCACTGATCCTGGACTAATATCTAGTACACAATGCTGAAATAACAATGATGAAAATAATAAAATAAAAATTTAAAATAATAAATCAAAATTTTATTCAACAAATCTCTTCAATATGCTTCAAATATTTTACTCTAATGCTTTAAATTATTACTTCTTAACTCAACTTATACCTTATTTGCAGCAATAACAGCATCAATTGCACTTAATCGTACGATACTTTCATCGATAACACCAGCAAAACGAACAGCAAAATTAGCTAACAATCGTTGTCGAGCAATATCAGCTAATGGACCAAAAAGTACTAAAGGCCTAAAATATCATTTCAAATAATTTCAATACGAAAAAATTTTTGAACACTCTAAATAAATAGAAAATAGTGGTAATGTTAAAGTTAAACATGTTATGTAAATAAATTTACCAAAAATTACTTATGAAATAAACTTATAAATATCAATAAATTTTATATTTGATAAGAATTGATTTTTAAATGAAACTTATTTTAATGTTAATTCTCAAATCCTAAACTAACCTCTGAAATTGTGGATGCCTCAATGTGACACGTTCATAAGCAGGAAAAGTCATATCACAAGCATTCTCAAAAGTTACATCATCGATTACATTCTTTGTTAACGATTTTGTTCGTCGTTCTTTCAATTTTCGACGGAAAAAAGTAGAACGACCAAATGTTGACGTATCATTACGTGTCGCTTTTGCTAATTTTTCAGCACTAAACAAACAAACAATTTGTATTTTTTGAAATTTTTAAAATTTAAAATGTATAAGATTCACATGCAAATTAAATCAATCAAATTACATTTGTTTATTAATTTATGAATTAATTTTAATCAATCAGCTCTTTTTTTCTCTTTTTTTTTTTGAGCATATCAAATTAAAATGCTTTTTTAAAAGCATTTTAAAATTAAAAAAAAAAAAAAAAGTTTTATTAAATGTTTTTACGTTTCTGAATTTGGTATAACGCCTTTATTATTATCATTTTGAATATAATTTCCATTTTCAGCAGCAGAATAAACACGTGTAGCTTGCCAAAAACCAACTGTTCCACCAAAAAGAGTATCAGTGATATGAAAAATATCACCGCTATGAAATGATAACTCCAAATGATTGGATGTTTTTTGATGAGCAAAATGAGTTCTGAAAAAGAAAAACAAACAAGAAATTTCTCGACATTGATTTTAATATTGTGTATAAATAGTAATGAAAATACCATATTGTATTTGATATAAAGATAAAAAGAAAAAAAAAATTTTTTTTAACTGATAAAATCTAATATATTAAAATTTAAGAATATGAAAATAATTGATGATGAAGCAAAAGAAAATAAAAAGATAAACCTAATATAAAAATTATCTCCTAATGGTCCATTTCTGATTCTTTCATAATCTACGGCCGAATATTCCACTTTAATTGTCACATCATCATGTAGTGCTAATAAATGACGAACAGCCTGAAATATTTGAAAAAGAAAGATTATTGTGTGAAAAAAAAAAGTAAAACAAAATGAAATGATTAATACTGATACTTACTTAAATTAAAATTGATATTTTCTATATTCTTAAGTTGATATTTTTCACTAAGTACTTAGTATTTTTACCTTGAAATATTTGAAATGAATAAATGACATTTACTTTATAAATAATATTTACTTAAATTGATATTTTTCACTAAGTACTTAGTATTTATATCTTAAAATATTTGAAATGAAGAAATGATATCTACTGTCTATCATAAAAATATATTACCTCTTCTCGAGTAACACCAATCATTGATTTCTCATTAACAGATAAAATACGATCACCCGATCTGATAGAATGTATTGCAGCAGGTGAATCTTCTTGAACAGCTGATACAAAGATACCAACTTGATTTCCACCAATTACACGAACACCCAAACTTCCTGAAATTTAAAATTTATGCCAAATTGATAACTTTTTAAATTTAAATAATTCAAAAAGTTGTTTAGCTTTGAGAAGAGAGAAAGAAAAAAAAAAACTCAGATGATCATGAAATTATCATGAAATGAAAGAAACTCTTGAGAAAATTTATAGGACTAAAACATTTCATGATATACAAACCTCCAATTTTTCGAAATCGAATTGTTCTAATGCTCACATCACTTTGACTACTTTGACTGTTTGTAATACTTCCATTTCTTCGATGAAAATCTCCATAATCAATTGACTGTCGTTCACTTTGAGACCATCTGAAAGAAAAATCAAAATGAAATCATTTTAATAAATCAGTTAGTAATATGCAAAAGGAAAAAAAAAGTAGTTGAAGATATATCTTTTCAAATTTATATTCATTTTATTTGTAACTAAGAATTAATTTAAATTTTAAAATAAATTCTGAAATTGCAGTAAATGTGAAAAAAAAAAATTGCTACTGATATCATAGAATGAAAGGACACAATGTAATGCCAACGTTTGGATATTTCTCAGATAAATGAAAGTTTAAAACTTTTGAAAAAATTTTAGAAATTTCAATTTTATCCTCCTAACCTAGCATTTGACATTGTTGATGTGTTGACATATTCAAGTGATGATCGTGGTGCTAATGACTGATGTAAATTATGCATCGGTGATGGACTATGTCGTGGTGTTCCTGATACCGAACCTAATCGTTCATAAACTGTATTCTGACTTGGCCATCTGTGAATAAATTATCCAATGAAATTTATTTAAATGAAAAATATATTTTTTTTTTATGTCAAAATTTTCATGTCAAAAAGCATATTGTTTAAATATGACAAGCAGTTCAGTAATTGTCCAGATGGTTTTAGTAATAAATGGAATACACAGATATGTAATTTAAAAAAAAAAATTGTCTAAAAAGATAATTGTTGGGTAAGAAATAGGAATGTAGAAGAAATATCAAAAAAAAAAAGGAAATTCATTTCATATATTTGAAAATTTTTCACCATTTATATTATCAGTATGAACATGCATCAATTTCTAATTTTAACTATTTATTCTAACTCTAACAAATAATTAAAATATTTAAATTCTATCGAAATTTATTTCTCGCATAAATCATTTATACAATTTAAATTTGCTCAATTACTTAAGAAAAAAGCTTTAGCAATTTTCTACCATCTAGGATTAGAATTTTGGTAGTAAAGAAAACTAATTCTTAAAACACAAAATCTTATAATTCAATTAATTAAAATTTTTTTTAAAAAAAAAAAATTAAAGATTAATTAAATATTTGATATTTACCTGCTACTATCTCGTCGTACATCTCTTTGAACAACAAGAGAAAGTTTTTCGCGACTTTTTGAAAGCCATTTGGTTGCTTCCTCAATTGTGACACCTTCTACGGATTGACCATTTATCCTGAGAACCGTGTCACCTTCACGTAAACCAGGATCCTTTTCAGCTAATTTACGATTTGTAATTTCTTTGATATAAAATTTACAACCAAGTATGATACCAAAATCTAAAAAGAAAAAAGCAAGTTAAGCTTTTTCTCTAAAAAAAAAACAAAACTTTGAAAACAAACAATAAAATAAATAGTTTAACACTCCTTTTTTCCATATTAAAATTTTCAAAAATTATATTTTAAAAATGTTAAAATGCAATAAACTAATAACTAGAAAAATAAAAAAAAACATTCAATATCTAAAACTAATGTCTTTTTTATGCAAAAAAAAAAAAAGAAAAAAGAAAATCAACAAAATGAAGGAATAAATTTACGAAAAAAATAAGAAAAATAAAAAACGAACAGAAAGAAATAAAAAGAAAAAAAAAAGATAAATGAGCTAAAAATCAGTCAAACAATGCAATAAAAATTTTTGCATTATAAATCAAAAACAAAAAATTCATATAATTTAAATATATAATTTAAATATTTGAATAGAAATTAAAACAATCAAATGATCTATTTCAGTCACATTTTTCTTTTTCTTTTTTTTTATTTTTTTTTTTTACTAATTCTAAAAAAGAAAAAAGCAAGCATTTTTAATTTCATGCAAAAAAGCAATTATTATTTTTTTTTTTTTTTAAAAAAAATACAATTTTATGTATTTTCTCATTCAATCACTTCCGCAATCAGTCATTTATTTTTATTTTTTTTTTCCACAAAATATTTGTTAAAATATTTTATGAAAATAGAACATAAAATTTTATAGAATAATTTGCTTTTTGTATTACTAACAAATTTATTTGTAACACGCGTAGTAAATTTTCTTTTTAAAAAAAGAAAAAAAAAAACCTTTTGTTTAATTTAAAATAACCCTCTCTCTCCCTCTCTCTCTCTCTCTCTCTCTTAACAAACAATTGGTCCAAACAAAATTGATGTGAAAGCTTTTAAATCAACATTTTAAAAAATATTGCCGTAAAAGTTACTTAGAAACTAATTCATCAAATTATCCGATACAGCAATACTTCATTTTGTTGTTGTTTAACTAACTAACTTGTTGAAATTTAAATTTGCTGTTGAAATTGTTGAAATTTAAGATGCTTATAGTTAAATTTGTAAATTTCGGTTTTCTTTTGTCTTTTTATCTTACTGAAAAAAAAAGTTTATTATGTTTACAACAATCAATTAATTTACTCGATAGGAAAAAAAAGAAAAGAAAACGAACAGGAAAAAGGAAGAATGAAATTGTAAACAAATGAAATTTCACAAATAAACTTTCAGTTTTATTAAAATCTTTAAAAAAAAAAAAAAGGAAAAGGAAAAGAATGAAACATTCAAAGAGAAACATTTAAATGTTTAAATTTTAATTATGAAAATTAGCAAATTGAAATCAATTGATGTATGCATAATGTCAAATGCATTTTGTTTTTGTTTTTTATTTTTTATTTTGTTGTTTATTTCTTTCTTTTATAGATAGAAATATGAATAGCTTAAATCATATAGCAATTTCATTTATTATTCTAACTGAAATTTTATTATGATTATTACGATTATAACTATAACAGTATGTACAACTTAATTTTTACTATGCATCTTTAAAAACCAAATTTAATCATTTTAATTTAAAGATGCATAAGGAAAAAAAATCAAAATTTGCATTTAATTATAATTTTCCAACCGTTTTTTTTTTTAGCTAAAAATTTTACTAATAAAATCTATTAAATATTTAATGATTAGAAAATCTTTTTTACATCAAAAATTATTTGTTGCAAATTCAGTTTTTTTATTTTATTTATTTATTTATTAGTGATTTCATATCATCTAAAATGCTTACCTATGCAATCATCATTAGATTTTATCAAATTATCATTAACTTATCAATGACAAATCTATGATAACATTCTGAGTCTAAAAAAAAAATAAAAAATAAAATAAAACTAAGTGAAGAAATAGCCAAAATTTTGATAGCTCAAAAAAAAAAAAAAAAAAAAGTTTTTTTTTTCTTTCATACTATTTCAATTAAAATTTAATCCAATCTATTATTACCTTCCTTTTTTCGAGATTTTGATAAGGTGAATTTTAGTGTACGTTGCTCATATTCGATATGTGGTACTGGTACTCGTCGTTTTACAATCTGTAAAATTTTCTAATCAAAATAAATAAATAAATGAAAATTCCAATTATCATTTCAAATTATAGGAAATGATAGGATGAAAAAAAGAATCGAAAGAGAAAAAAAACAGTTAAACAGTTTCATTTGCTTCGAGAAAATTCCGATATTTCCCAGTAGAGAAACTCTCTCTCTCTCTCTCTCTCTCTCTGGGAATTTCTTAATAAGTTTCTTATTTAATTTACAATATTTAATTATTAATTAATAAATACCGGAAATTTAATATTTAATTAATAAATACTGAACCATATTTAATTGTTGCGATTCTTTCATAATCTTTATCGCTTCCGCGTAATCAGCTGTTTCAAGTGCAACACCGTTTGCTGATAAGATGCAATCGTTCACTCTGCAATTTGATAAATTCAATAAAATAAAAATCGTTATCACTAATTGTAATCAATGTTCACATTATTAATTTATCAATTATCACTTGAATATTTGAATGAATATAATAGGAAACTATTGCATCTAAATGTGTATAGCACTATTTATTTCTCTTATCAATTGCATAATCATATCAGTAATTTGAAAATTTTTGCTACTGATGTTTTTTTTTTTTTTAATTTTATTTTAAATTATAAAAGTCAAAAATTGTTTTATTTTGTAAGTTTTATTTTGTAAAAAAAATTTTTATTCAACTGAAAAAAATTTATTTTTTTTTCATTAATGAAAATGATAAGAATATTTGATAATTTGCTCATATTTTCTTCAATTGTTTTCACTTTCTAAATCTAAAAAATTACTAAAATTTGATGCTATCAATCAAAATGTTATTAACAAATTGTGAAAATAAAAAAAAAAAAAATTGACAAAAGATTTTTTGTATTTTATTAATTCTAGCAGGCAGATGATATGTTTGAATGGTGACCGAAATATTATCAAACAAATATTTGCATAAGAAAAAAAAAGAAAAAAAAAACAGTTGGTGAAAAATAAATTTTGCATAATTCAAATTATTATTACGATCATGATATAAAGAGAGAGAGAGAGAGAGAGAGGGAGAGAGGGAGAAGTTGCTTAACAAAATATTTTTTTCCTTTTTTCTTAAAATTATTTTTTCTTTTTCTTTTTTTTTTCTATCTTAATTCCTTAACAAAATATCACATTCTTATTGATATTTGGCTTAAATTATCACTCTTTGAGTGATAATATATGATAATCAGATATAATAAAAAATTCTCAAAAAATTTTAGAAAAACAAAATAAAAATGGAAAAGTGAAAAATGCTGTTCCGCTAAAAATTATTAAAGAATGGAAAAGAGATAAAAGTTTGATAAACTGATAAAAAAAAAAGATAAAGACGAATTAATAAATGTTAAATTATGAAATTAAATTAGAAAATCAAATATGAATTGATTCGTTCATTCTTACTTATTGAATTAATTATTATTTTTGAGAATGTTTTTAATCTTATAGGTAAAAAACAGATTATTTTTCCTCTTACTATTGCTGAAATAAATCATTGAATTTTTAATAAGTTTATAAAAAAGATAAATTTAAACTAGTAGAATTGAAATTTACTATTTATGTTCAATTATTTTACAAAGTATTCACGATAGAAAAAAAAAAAAAAAACTATTGCTAATGACAAATAATAAATTAAAATCGAACTGTCTTCCATTTTCCATAAAAAAAAGAAAAGTTAGAAAAGGAGAGCAAAAAAGATATCAAAAGCACTTAAGTAAATAAAAAGGAAAATTAAAGTATCGAATGGAAAGAAATTTAAAATTCCATTTACTTTATCTGACTTATCACATTTCAATTTCAATGTATAATTATCGAAAGAGAAATACACATTAACCATTAACTATTAACTCAACAATTTCTATTTTCCGGTAGAATACAAAATGTAAATAAGTGAAATGCGTGAATGCAATTGTAATTTTTAAATTCTTAAATTAATTTTAATTAAATTAAGAAAAAATTAATTTTATCAAAAAGAAAAAAAAAACAATAATGGAAACATACTGAACAAGTCCCCAAGCAGGACCAGTTGGAATCACGTCACTTACGATTACAGTCGGATCACCCGATGTAAAATTCGGATTCTCCCGACCGCTGGATACTGCTATCCCGAAACCAACTTTTGGAATCTGAAATTTATGACACAATATTAATGTTAAAAATTTAAATGATAGCACATTAACAGTTTCAAACAATAATCATTTAATTGATAACGTATTGAGGATTGATAACGTGTTGAGGATTGATAACGTATTGAGGATTGATAACGTGTTGAGGATTGATAACGTGATTCAATAAATGATAAATGATATGAAAGTGAGAGGATTGGATGCAATAATTCGATAATTAATTAAATTTAATTGGAAATCGTTTATTTTTTATGAATGATTGAGTTCTTTGCAAATATCATTTTTGATTATTTATTGTTAGAAATGAGTTATTTTTATTCACCTTTTAAGAGAAATGATAAAATTTTGTCAAAATAATTAAAAAGAGAGAGAGAGAGAGAGAAAGAGAAAGAAAGGAAAAAGAGTTAAAAACATATAACATACATATATCAATCCATTTTGAATTCCCATTCTAAGTTAATTTCCGTCAAAATTAAATGCTTATCTTTCACTCTCTCTCTCTCTCTCTCTCTCACACATCAATAAAGAGAGAAGAAATATTAAGTGAGGGAAAAAAAATGTCATTCAAACTTTTTTCAAAATTACTCAAAAAATATTTTTGATATTTTGTAAATTTTATTAAAAAAAAAAAAAATTGTATTTAATTAAAGTAGTAAATTACACCTAATTATTTTGTAGTAATGCCTTAAACTCATTAACTTAATTAATCATAAATAAAATAAAAACTTTAATATTTTACGTAAATGCAGTATATATAATACGTAAATGATCTAAAACATTACATTTTGACAGCTTCCGGAAAATGCGCTCCGCTTATTCTCAAAAAATATGAATGTCCGGTATTAATGACGCCTTGTGTCTTCTCAGTGCTTTTTTCTTCAAATGATTTGTATGAAATGTTTGTGCGCATCTATACATGTACACAAATGCGCATTTGCATTTCATGATTGTAACAAAGAAGTGAAGCAAAAAAAAAGAGAAAAAAGAAAAGCTATAGTAGGGGAGGAATGTCACGAGAGTGGCGCTATTGTCGCTTATATCACTGTATCTTCTAATTTTTTTATGGGAAAAAAAAAATGGAAATAGAACGAAATAGTACAAATAGTTTGAGAAAAATCATATAAATAACTGAATAAATACAAGGAAAGAAGCATTTCCAGACAGAGAGGGAGAGAGAGAGAGAGAGAGAGAGAGAATTGACAAAAGCCGCTCGTTTATAGCCCCGTTTATCTCATCGTATTAAATCAACAACAAATGGAGGAAAATATATTAAATGGAAGCTATCATGAGAAAGGATGCACTTAAATTAAATGGAATTTAAATCAAATTTAAATTTCGATTAATTTTATTCTAATAAAATAATGATAAATTTGATATTGCTAGTGAAATTTCTTGATAGCTACCATTTGGGACTAAATTTATAACTTTTGTTGTTATTATGGAAAACTCAAAAACGAAAAGTAAAAAAAAGTAAGATACAGAGTTACCACGATGACATCCAATTTGATAGTTAAGAGATAGAATTTGAAAAGAAAAGATGAAAACAGATGAATGTGAATCGATTCAAAACGATCATTTAATAGAATTAAGGCTAAAAAAGAAAAAGAAAAAAAAAAGATCGGCAAAATAAAGCAATGTCCCAATTTGAAAAGAATCACTGTGATAAGAATTAATACGAAAAATATTTTGCGACATAAAATTACCAAAAAAAAAAAAATTGGAATATGTTTTCAATTAATTTGAGGAAATATTGCAACGTGATTATGATTGAAAATTTGTATTAATTTGACGGTTAGTACGTGAAGCACGTGAATGTCATTTTAGATAATATTGAATAATATGATAAGATAAAGTAAAGTGGTTGATCAAATAAGAGTATGCGTAATTCATTCAAATGACTGAAATATATGACATATAATTCTGTGATTAATTTATGTTATTCTAAATTGATTAAGAATATTTGTAAATTTTTATCCAATCTAATGCAAATTGTATGACTTAAAATTAGTTAAACATTTAAAATGAAATTTAATTTAAAATTTAACTTGACCTATTTACTTCTTTTATGCTCCTCTTTACAGCATTATTACATGCTCTGATAGATATTATCTTCCCGTTCTCATCAATGTTCACTTAAATTCTCTTCTGTTACCTTTTATCATATTTAACATCTTCTTCTCTCCTAAATATTTCAACAAATGAATTTAAATTTTTGATTACATTATGGATGGAATTAAACGTAATATTGTCATGACAATAGGTCAAGTGTTCCACTGTTGCCAATAGGTCAAGTGTGTTCCATAAAGGAACGCATTTCACGTAATATAGACGTAATAAACGGATTAGATACTATCTTGATTATTCAGAATAAAATATATGAATGGATAGATAAATATAACAATGAATTATTATTTATATTCAAGGAAATTTTAAATAAATCAACAAAGGAAAATGTAATTAATTAGGTAATCAAAATGTAATTAATTAGTCTTGTAAATGAGTAAAAATCTGTGTAATCTTTTTGTTTCTTTTGATTTCATTTAATTATTTTTCAATCAAATCTCAAATGATTATAACACGTGAAAATATAGCGCTATGTCACGAGAAAAAAAAAGCTCATACATAAATAAGAATGATAAGTAAGTGATAGATATGTATAAAGTGATAAAGTAAGTTACGAAATGATAAAGTAAATAAATGATGGATAGGTGTGAAGTGATAAAGTAAGTTACGAAATGATAAAGTAAATAAATGATGGATAGGTGTGAAGTGATAAAGTAAAGTAGATGATGGATATGTGTGAATTGATAAAATAAGTAAATGATGGATATGTATGAAGTGATAAAGTAAGTAAATGATAGACATATATATGAAATGATAAAGTAAGTAAATGATAAACATATATATCAAGTGATAAAGTAAAGTAAATGATGAATGATGATAAGAAAAATGCAATTTTTATTTATTTCTTTTAGACAACGACAAAAATATGAATGTAATAAAGTCAAATAGATAAATAATATTACATTATTCATCATAAATTAATTATTCAGAAGCTTATCAAAAGCAAAAAAAGAGATTTTTTTTTTTTTATTTTTGCAGATCATTGCAGAAAAAGCGGTAATTGTATATTATATTATACATTTTACCGCTTTTTTTCTAGCAGATCTTTCCTACTGATAGTAGCATAATAAGAATATATTTATGATCATCTATTAAAAGTAAAATAGAATAAATCGAAAACACAGAGTAAATAAAATAAATAGTGAATTAGTAAAAGTTGCATTAGTAAGTCTTTTCTACCGGATATATACTAATTTTAGGATATGTATTTTAATTAATTTTAAATATAATTTGAAAGTATAAGAAGGAATTTTGTTGAATTTGGTTAAAATATTAATGAGTGAAATGCAGAAGTGACATGTGTAAGCCTAAAATGACAAACAATTCAGGTTTAAATTTGACATACTTTAACTAATTTCCGGAATGCTCTTTGTTTCGCATAAATAGAAAGTAAAAAAAAAAAAAAGAAAAGAAAGAGTTTTCTACTTCATTAAAATCAAGTAATTCACAAAAAAATAAGTTAATATTCTTAGAGACTAATTATTTACAAAAAAAAAAAAAGAAAATTATCATTATGCTTATTATCAAAAATTTTTAAAATTTGACAAATTCAAATAATTTACATAAAGTAATCAATTACTTAATCTTATCATTAAATATTTAAAATGATATGTAAATTTGAAAATAAATTTATGATTATTATTGTTATTATTATTAGGGTTTGCATTGAAGGAAATTAAAATTTTCACTTCGTTATCTTTACTTTTGATATAATTAGTAAAAGATAAGAGAATTTCTTAATTAATTAGTTATAAAATTTTATGATTATAATATACTGATAAACAGATATTAAATTAATTAAACTAATTCCGGTAAACAAAAAATTAAATTAATTAATTAAATTAATTCCAATAAACAAAAAAGTTTTTGCGAATAAATCAATAATTGCTAAAAACGAATTTGCATATGTTTGCAAAAAAAAAATTTGCGCTACAATCTGATGTAAAATGAACGCCACCATAAAAGTTATCGGCAATTATTGTGTCTCTGAACAATACACACCTGTCTGTCTGTCTGTCTGTGTATGTCTGTGTATGTGTGTGTATGTGTGTGTACGTGTATGTGTGTGTATGTGTGTATTTAGAACATATTTACCTAAATGTTTAAGTAATGAGTATATTTAAAGAAATAAATGAAATTTATAAGAAATTAGATAAAATGAACTGTAACAGAATAAGTTAGTACCATAAGTATGGTATTAAAAATTTTTTTTTTTTTTTTTGAATTTTAGGATTTTAAATTATTTTCAAAATTTTCAAATGTTTTATTCTTTGTTTTTGTTTTTTAACTAACATAATTTCTTAATTTGAATATTAATGTTTCAAAAAAAAAAAAAATATTTGAGAAATTAATTAAAGATAGAAAGAAATGAAAAAAAAGAGGAGAGTAGATATTATCAGGATGATAAGAATTCAAAGAAATAAGCTCTTCTATTCTTTAAAAAAAAAAAAAAAAAATTTGAAGTTTAATTTAGCAAGCTTACAAATCAGTTCATTCTCATCAGCAATTGTTCATTCTCAACTTTAAAATGGGACAGAGAAAATTGACTGCAATTTAAAATCGTTCCCTCTACCTCACATTCTCTCTACCATCGATTTCACATTTCATTTCAAAAATAATTTCATCAGCATTAATTAGAGGCAAAATGTATTTTAAATTATATGGGGAGTAAAAAAAAAAAAAAATTGGAGAGGAAAAGCTTAAAAATATTCAAATTTATCCTAAAAGGTTAAAAAAATAAGAAATAAAATGCTCCTTAATAAATAGTTTTATTAAATAATATATCTAATTTACGCTTGAAAACATTTTACTTTTATAATTTGTGAAAAATTCAATTCAAAAATAATCTAATAAATATATCAAAAATATTTAAAGAAACAAAAAAAAAAAAAAACTGCAATGAATTTGAATGATTTTAATAAAATCATTAAAAAAAGAGAGAAAAAAAAACCATAAACAATTTATGCATATTTACTTACAATAATCAATGAACATAATATAATACAATAAACAATAAACAAAAATTCAAATAAAAATAAATAAAAAAAAAAATTAATTGATTAATGAAAAATTACATGAAGAAGTATTCAACTTTTTTTTTTTGTAAAATTTATTCAAATTTATTGATTTAATATTTTTACATAACAAATTTATTACTTGAAGTAATTTAAAAGAATTAAAATTCTATACTAACAAATTTATTACTTGAAATAAATTTTAAAAGAAATTAAAAGAATTAAAAAAAATTCTATACTGAAATAATTTAAAAGAATTAAAATTCTATACTAACAAATTTATTGATTGAAATAATTTAAAAGAATTAAAATTCTATATTAACAAATTTATTAACTGAAACGATTTAAACGAATTAAAAAATGTAAGTGTAAGCAATGCATTTCATTTTCCATTTTTTATCATTCTTTTAAGCTTTATTTAAATATATTCAAATGAAATGCGATTGAAATGATAAATGAGAATTTATGAGAGAATGCAATTGAAATTGAGGGAAAATGAACGAACGAATCAATGAGAGAGAGAGAGAGAGAGAGAGAGAGAGAGAGAGAATCTACTAATTCCTCTTTTAATGTCTAAAATTGATATTCAAAAAATGAAAAACAATGATAGTACCACTACTACTACTACTACTACTATTGCTCTGCTAAAGCTATCATCCAAATATATTACTCATCTTATAGTAGAATATTAATCTTTAGACTAGACTATATCGATTTCAACTTAGTAAATTAGTAACTTATGATGGCTATCCCTAAAAGAAATGGGCTTAATTTTAAAAATGATAAAAGTTTAGAGAGAAGAAATGAGTTTTTCCTAAAATCAATAAATTTTATTTATTGTATTATGAATTCATGAAGTACACTTACAAATAAATCTCTTTTGATATGTCTAAAAGACAATTTTGATTTGCTTTTTAAATTTTGCTTCCTCTATTATTAGAATATTTATGAATTGCTGAAAAGTTAATATTAGCATTAAAAAAAAAAAAAAACTCTTTCGTCTTTTTTTTTGCAAAAGATATTACATATTTTTTAAATTTATCAATTATAATTTACTAAAAAAAAAAACATAAATTTTATAATACTGAATTAATAGAAATTAATATATTTGATTTAGTAATTTATTTCTTTTTTAGCAAAAAAAAAAAACAAAAAACAAAAAACATAAGAAAGCAATTAAATGCAAATACCTTAAAATACATTTTTTTTTCTAAGAATTTTAAATTAATTAGTCAATTTTTTGATATGATAAAACATGAAAATAAATGAATTAAATTTAAATTAAATTTAGAAAATAAATTTAATTCAAGTTTATCTGCTAGGAAATGAAATAAGCGAAGGTATGTTAATATCATTGTCTTTTAATATTTAAATAAATAAATGATTTATTGGATATGAAAATGAAATAATAGAGAAAAACATTAAAATGACAAAAAAAAATTTGAACTTATAATAGATAATGACAAATCTTAATTACACAAAAAAAAAAACTAAATATTGAATTTGAAAATTAATTAATTTAAGCTTAACTGAAAAAAAACAAAGAAAAAAACTTGACTTATTACATTTAAGCGAAAAGAAAAAAATGTCAACTTATTACATTAGAAAAAAAATACATTAAATTTTGATACTAAGATTAAAAAAAAAAAATTTTTTTTAATGATAGTTGAAAAAATACAATTAAATTTTGATAATATAATTAAAAAAAAAAAATTTGTTTTAATATAAATGGTTAATTTGAGTTAAATTAATGAAAATAAATTAAAGAGAAATGAATGAACGAAGAGATGAATTGATTGGAAATAAATATTTATAAAAGTAGAAAGTAGTAAATAAATTTGATAGTTAGTAGTAAATAGTTTGTGTATGAAATTGAACGAAACGAACTCACTCGATGAAGTGTGACGGAAAGAAGTTGCCAACTGACGCTCGAACTTGAACCATTAGCTGTTGCATCCTGAAATAAGTGGAAATGAATTTTGAACAATTTCATATCAATTCTTATTTTAAGGAAATACTCCCATTGCTAATGCTAATGCTAATGCTAGCACTAATGCTAATGCTAATGCTAATGCTGTAAAAATTAAATGAAAGAGTGAAAATGAATAAATGATTTTTGAAAAATTAAAATTAACATTAAATGCAATGAATTAAATTCCTTCTTCTCTTCGTTTTTTTTTAACACTCTCTCCCTCTCTCTCTCTCTCTCTCTCTCTTTCTAAATAATAAATTATGAAAATTTAAATTTTGTTAATACCTAAACAGAAAAAAAGCATAAAAAATATTTGATTTTGTATTTTAACTGTATATTTTAATTATCACATAAGAGTAACTGCATTAAATGAATAATTCTAATTACATAAATTTAAATAATAAATTAAATTAAATGTATAAATGAGGAAGAAAAAAGGGAGAGAGAAAAAAAAAGACATTTATTTGTTAAATAAGAAAGTATTTTATTAATAATATATTTTTTTAACTGAATAAAAAAAAAAAAATAATTTGAAAATTGATTGTATAAAAAATTATTTAATTTTACAATTTGTATTATAATAATATGCAAAATTAATAAATTATCATCATTTTTCTCATTGATTATAATCATCATATTATTATTATTTTTTGATAATTTTAATATTTCAATAAAAGAATTATTTATTTATTTTTTTATCAAATTTAAGAATTTATTTCAATGTTTGCTTAACTGTGAAATATTTCATATCAAAAAGAATTTAGCAAAAAAAAAAAAAAAGTAATTTTATTAAAGATAAAATCTAGTTTTCAAAATGTAAAAATCAAAAAATTTCTTTTCTTTTTTTTTTTTTCATTTTCATAGAAATGTGACATTTTCTAAGGTATATTGCAGTTTTCACTCATTTCTTTTTTCTATTATCAATAAAATTGCTCCGAGAAAAGACATTAGTTAAATTTAAAAAAAATCTTTTTTATACTTTAATTTTGTAAATTACCTTGCTATAAATGCATTAGTATTTAGAAAGAAATTTCAACTATTCAAATATTAAAAACTTTTTACAAATACACCAATATTTTATCAAGCAAAAAAATAGTAATAATTAATTATTTGTTTATAAGATAATAATATTATATATTCCCTGGTTTAAGTTAAATGCAGCATTTTTTGAAATTTTTTTAGAAAATCTACGAGAAAAATTAATCAAAAAGTTTTGAAGGGAAATGAAAAATTTTTGTCGAGATTCTCGAAATAAACAAAAGTTGATATAATTGATATTGCATTATTTCAATTCAATTTGATGAGATATTTTTCATCACTTAAAGATATTTTTTCTTCACAACAAAATCAACCAACAAGAAGTAATTAAGGCGAGAAATGAAATCAGGAAAACTGAAAATTTTTTGAAATCGGTTTTCTTTGAAAGCTAATCAACGGTTTGGCTATTTTATTACTATCATCCTTAATATATATATGTATATATGAATAATTAAATATTATAAAATTAAATATTCTTTTTAATAAATGACTTTTAATAATTTTTAACATTTTTTTTTAAATATATTTGTAAATTTTTTTAATAAATAAATAAGTAATATACAAAAAAAAAAGTAAATATCCATTTTTTAGTTCTATTTTTATTTTCTTTCCTATAACGAAACAAATTTCTCACAATATGTCAATTTCTAATATTATAATATATAAAGTAATATAAAGTAATTAAACATAATATATACTAAATCTTAATTAAGTATAATTTTTTTTTAAATGATAAAGTGATAAAAATGATAGAATGATAAATTTTTTAAATGAAAAAAATGATAAAGTATAGATATCAGTAATTGAATAACTTATAAATCATCCATTCAATCATGCATAAAATTTATATTAGAAAATGCAAACCATCTTCAATGAATGATATAATCTTACCGGATCTGATAATTGATCCGGTTTACAGGATGCTTTATCACGTTCGCTACGTCGTGGATGTTGTAATGAATTAGTGTGATTTTCTTTACTGATTAATTTTGGTGAGTTACAATTCATTATCATTGATGTGGACATGGATATTCCAGTATTATCATTATCATTTCCAAATATTGGCCAACCATTGATAAAATCGATCGGTCGACCTTCCCACATTTGTTGTATTGCTTCTTCTTCTCCTAAAAAATTTATTTGAATTTGAATTTTTTTTTTTTCAAAAATATGAAATAAGAAATCATTAATTAATTAACGTGCCTTTTTTTTTATATCAATAGAACAAATGATCTTTTTATTTGCAATGATTTAAATCTAATTTTAAATTAAAATCATTATAAACAGTGAAATTAAAATTTGAAATATTATAATAAAAATTTGATGAAGACAAAAAGGTAAAAGAAAAATAGTAACTTTTAATATGTTCAGAAATTTTTTTTAATTTTCTTTTCTGATAATCTTTTGAAAAGTTTGTATCACAGAAATTTCTTTTTTTTTTCTTTTCAATTTTAATTTCATTTCATTAAAATGAATAGTAAATAAAAATCATAAAAATTGTAAGATGAATGATATATCATAAAGAGAAAAGCATGCTGAAATTGTATCCATTCATTTAACTCTAATTTAAGTGACCTAAAATTAAAGTTATTGACAAATTTTATAAAAATAAGAAAGGTATTATAATAATTACAAAAATTATTATTAAATAAAGTCTAAAAAAAAAAAGAAAGAAATATCAATGATTTCAAAAATTTATACATAAATTTATAGTATAACAAATTAAAAATCTATGAAAAAAAAAAAATTAATGATTAAATGATCGTTGTCCAATAGTTTATTTTATTTTAAAATTTAAAATTAACTGCGATAACATTCCAATAAAACTTTTACATTTATATCTAAAAAAATGAATTCCATTTGATCAGTTTTATTATCAAAATTATCATTCGTAGTATTAAATTTATCAATAGTTTGTGTATTTGAAGAAAATTCCAAAAAAAAAAACGAGAATTTATATTTGGATAAGAAAAAATTTTTTTTTTTTGATAATTTCACTTAATCATCTAAAATTTGTTAAAAAATTTTAAAATTAAAATTTAAAATAACATTTTTGATCAGATTTTTTTAATAACAAATAGTGAAGAAAAAAAAAAGTGAAAGCTTACCATAGCGAACAAAACAAAAAAAAAAAAAATAGAAGTATAGTAGTAATTTGAAATATTTGAAAATTTTGGCTTAAATTTTAAAAGTATTAATAAGCCATAGGATGATGATAGCCACAGGAAATAGATTAGTCTAATCAGACGTAATACACGTAATACGTGATTTATGAATCAACATTATTCGATGAATTCTTCGTCGTACACGCAGATAATTTATAATGTTAAGAATTGAAATTTGAAATTTAAAATTTGAATAAAAGGGAAACAAATAGGATAAGAAAGCAAATATGCCAATAAAGAATGGAAATTTTGAAGGATGAAAGAATGAAAAGAAGAGTGAATATACAATTCCCAGTGGTATTTTTCTGGCTTTTTAAGGAAATACTTTGAAAAACAAAAATTTAAAAAATATATACCACAGATGAATGCAAATATATATAAATATAAATATCATTTATAGTTTCAATAATAAAATTTAGTTTACATAATCGAATTGAATTGAAAAACTAAATTTTTAGATAATATTTTTTAAGCCAAAAAAATAATCAATGAAAAATTCTAACAATTAATTTTAACCAAAGTTAAAAATAAAAATATAAATATATAAATTTTTTTTTTTTTGACTTTTTAATTTTATCATAAATTTGTTAAATTAATAAAATTTCATTCTAAACCAAAAAAAAAGAAAATTACATAATCGTTTCTCTAATTATTCATTGCATTTGCATTTGCAATAGACATTTTTTGCAAGTAATATTAAAAATTTTTTCATGCAAACGTCATTCTTATTCGATTGTAATTGCTATAGGAATTAAAAGTGAACCAAAATTTATAAAAGTGAATAATAATTTCAAAAAGGAATGTAAATTGAAGGACAAAATGACAATGTACAATGAAAGAAACGACATTGAAATTTTGTCTATTTTAAATTAATCTTTGTTATTTAAATAATGTTTTTTCTTTTTGATTATTATTAGCAAAATGTTTAATGAATTTAAATTATAAAAATTAAATAATTTTACAATTCTTTCTAAAAAAATTATATAAAATTTTCACATATATATTGAAGAAAAAAAATAATAATAACAACAAATTTTCATAAATTCCATTTTTTTTTTTTTAAAATTATTCCAATATTTTTCAAATATAGATCCATTAATGAGAAACAAAACAGTAAAAAGTGAATTCGAAAAAAAAAAAAGTGGCAAAATTGAATTAAATAATTTTTTTTCTTTCGTGAAACAAAAATTTATAAAAAAATTCAAAATAAAATATGCTAGAAGAGGAAATATAGAGAAATAAAAAATGACAAAAAAAAAAAATTCAAATTCAAATTTAGCTATAATCAATTTAAAATTTTTGCCAGTCATTTTAATAATTTTTTAGTCCACGCAAAAATTATACCTTCCACTCTTTATTTATTCATTCATTCATTAAAAAAAAAAAAAAAAAACCACCAGCAATTATATAAAAATGAAAAAGTGACATTCAATTGTGATAGAAATAAATTTTGATAATGATATGTTTAAAAATGATACGATAAGTGTTAATTTTATGAATTCATTGAAATTGTGACGACACTGTGTAAAAATTACTTTTAATATTATTATCCTAAATAATTAAATCAATAATAATTAACTTAATCAATCAATAATTTACATTTATTAAAAAAAAAAAATTATTTCAAAAATATTAGCAATTATTTTCGAATAATATTATCATTCATTCATTTATGGGAATAATATTCACAAAAATAATTGAATTTAACTTCGTATAAATGAATTAATCAAATTTAAAATATTCTAAATTACATTTAATATAAAAGAATAAATGAACAACGATAATTGGTAAAAAAAAAAAAAGAATAAAATTATAATTTCTCACATAAATAATCAATGAAAGAATAAATGTCCCTCCACTAACAAAAAAATTGTCACATCTTTTTCAAATTTCAAACATTTAAATTCTTACTATTAATGTTAAACTTTTTTTAAGTGTCCTAAAATGTATTTGAAAAGGAATCATTAAATACTTTTTAAATTTACTAATATGAAGAGAGAAAAAAAAAGGAAATAAATCAATAACAGAAAATTATGATAAAAATAAACAAAAGAAAATTTGTTTTGAAAGAAAAAATTATGCAAATATCAAATATTACCAAAAAAAAAATTGCAAATTTAAATTTTGTTAACAAAGAGGAAATTATTTGAAAAGTAACTTCAAAAAGTTGTTTAATTCAATTATACGTCATTAGTGTTGGAATGATTGAAAGTAATGAAATAATTGAAACGACATAATATTGTTATAAATTAAATTAAATTAAACAATTTCTTCATTCTTCTTTTATTTGTTTATTTCTTGTCAACAATATATTTGCTAAAAATGATGTTATCTTCATTTGAAAAGTTATATAATTTGATGATAATTATGATAAGTGACAATGGTAGTACAAAATGATTAGAATTTTGATAAAATTGGAATTTTGGAATTTGGAATTTTCGAAAATATTGAAGAAATATAATGCAAATATGAGAAATTCTAATTCAAATTAAACTGGAAAATTCATTCTAACAAATAAATTGAAAATATCAGAATGAAAAAATGCAAATTTTACAATGATAATATGAAATTATTGTAATGAGCATTTTGTCAATAAAATATATATGAAAATTGTGAAGTAAAAAAAAAAAGCTTACAAAAGAAGTAAGTAAGTTTATAATATAAGAAGTAAGTAAAAAAAAACAATAGTGAATGTTCCAAAATGTAAAATTTACTATTTCAAAAATTTATCAAAACATTTTATAAAAAATATAAAAAAGATACAAATGTTAGCTATAAGCTTTATATTTTAAACTTTTTGAAAAAGGATTAATTTAAATGATCTTTTAATGAATGAATAGAAATATGATTTCATTGATTTAATTGATAAAAACATTTTGAATCAGTGATAAACAAGTGTTTTTTTTATCATTTGATCACTGTGGTTATATTGATGATTAAATTCCTAAGTGAAAAATTTTGCTTATCACTAATTTGTCAACGTTATCAAGAACAAATCTCATAGATTCCAGTAAGGTATTGTTTTTTTTTTTTCTATGATAAGAAAATAAACAAAAAAGTGTAAACAATAATTTTAGAATTGCTAATTACAAGAGAATTTATACTATAAGAAGTAAGTAAGTAAGTAGCAAAATGAGTTAAAGTAAGTATTACTTGTTTGATCGATGTGACAACTAAACATTAAGTATTTAAATATCTATGAAATAATATGATATATCGATAATGTCATCCATTACTTCTAACATCCATTTAAAATATCGACTAAACTTTACAAAATGGCTTATATTTTTATTCTTTCTCATTTCAAATTAAATATTTTAAATGAATTTTTATAGTATTTGCTTTGATTTAATCTTCGAGAATGTAAAAATAAACATTAAATATTTAAATATCTATGAAATAATAGAAAAAACGATTTTGTAAAAAAAAATTTACATCAGTTATAAATTAAAAAAAAATTAACTTTTTTTCATTTCTTACTTTGTTTAGTGAAATTTAATGAATTAATTTTTAATGAAAGAAATTGTATCTATCGTATGCTTTTAATTTTTAATTTTTAAATATAAAAATACGACATTTGAGCATTGTAAGAATTAATAATTGGAAAAATGACAAAAATATTTTGCCGGAATATTCGCTATTAAATGTTGTAAACAATTATTTATCTGAGCGTGTCTTCAATATCTTATAAATATATGATATTAAGAAAGAGAGAATCATTTTTAAATTTTAATACTGTTAAAAATCTTTAAAAACATTAAAAATTTTATTTAATAAAGTACTCTTGCTATAACGATCCAATTTTTTTTTTAAATATTATACTTAAATTAATTTTTTATAATTACTATACTAAAATTAATTACTATACCTAAATTTTACGTCTTTTTTCTTTTTGTCTATCAAATTTTCAATTTATTCAAATCATTATTTACAAGTGTT